ATTCACTTTTACCCTGTCTCCATAGGAAAGACTAGAGTGCCATTCACACTGGGGTGAGGTGGTATCTCATTGTGGTTTTAATTTGCATCTCCCTTATTATGAGTGATGTTGAACATTTTTTCATGTATCTGTTGGCCTTGATGCCAGTGAGTTTTAATCGTGATGATTATTTAACAATTTATCAGCTGTAGAGCACATGTGTTTAGATGACTTCATTTGCATTTTATTTACCCCAATGACCTATTATGAAAAGCAGAGGCCTGAAGAGTTAAGAAAGTAAAGATTTAATTTATCTCTACTTTCAGAACTTTGTTTTTATTTTGACATTTGGTTTTTGCTATTCAGCATTCAGCTGCATGCTGACATTTGTTGTCATCAGATTGTCCTCTATGCAGACAGTTGCTGCCTCTGTGCAGTCTTGGGACGTGAACTTTCCGCACTTGTGTGGACTGCACTAACTCTTTTCTACTTCTCTCACCCACCTTAGCCAGGCCTACAGATTTTAATGCCAAGGGCTTGCATGTCTGAGGTGACCAGCTGGGTTCAGGACTGCAGCTTGAGGCCTCAGAACTTAGCAAAGTTAACTAGCCTATCCACAGATTGTGCCTATAACCTTGGCCTCATTAGCACCCTGGTATTTGTGACTGTTTAACTAGTCTAGACTCGTCCCCATCAGATATAATTTCTTGTGTTTGTTCTTGTAATAAATCAAGCTGAAAGCTGATTCTAAGATACATTAAAAGTCTTTTGAGAGTTCACCACAGTTGCAAAAAAGTTCAGTTCTTAGAATGTATGATGCTTACAAAGAAAACCTAGCTAGAATCAGCAAATGATAAGAAACTTTGCTCTTGGTGTGTTTCAGTGAAGTGGTGTAAGTCTCTTTGGATCCTAGAGCTGTCTCCCTGAATGCTTCCCTTCTGCTTGTGCTTGCCCTCTAGACAAATCATCATGAGGCTCTCATGAGATGTTAGCAGTGGAAAGCACTCTACAAATTAAACTTCAACTTTGGCAGAGAAACCTTTTCTTCTAAGTATGTAAAACACATAAAAGTGCCCGGTACATAGAAAAAAAATTTTAAAATGCATACATAAAGTTAAAGCTGCTGTGCTTGGAAAGGGTATTCAAGCCCCATGGAAGTCCCTAAAGGGTAAGACCACAACTCTAGGTTTCTAAGATTTGAAGAATCTCATTTGAAGAATACTGGCCCTAGCATCCTCATGGCTCAACATCCATAGAGGTAATGGAGATATAGCTTGTTAGGTTTGAGACACGCATGGACTCCTCCCCATTTCTTAAAGGGTTTTCATGCTTACTTCCCAAAGTCCTTACATGAAGCTGCTAATGAACATTCAAATACTGGAGGAATTTGCTTCACTAAGTGTTTGCAGGTCCTGACTCCACTTGTGTTCACCTATAAATATAGAATATTTTATAAGAAAATATGTGTATTTTCTCATTATTAACTTTATTTCCACACCCTTAATAGGATTGCTATACATATACCAAATAATAAGAATTATTGCTTAGCATAAGGTTTGGTGTTTTCCTGTGTCAGAAAAGAAATTCTTGTACCTGCATAATTCTGTTCTTGTTTTTAGTTTATTATTAAATCATTAAAAAATCTACATTCTTTGTTAGCTGTTTCTCCATTTATAAAGTACTCTACCTTGCTTAACTGGTTTGTGCATTTACTTTTGCTATTGGTAAAATATTTATATTTTATATAATATTTGATATTATCTAGTAAATATTGGTTACATAAAGTGATAAATAAGCATTAAATCTTTAAAAGAACAATTAAGTTCGCTATGACCTTACTGACCTAAGAGTAGTTAATTCAAATTTGCCTTTTTGCAGGGAGGGGAAGCGGCAAACTTTCCTTCTCTAATATGGGTAGATAAATACTGAGACTACTATTTCAAATTCACTTTTACCCTGTCTCCATAGGAAAGACTAGATTTCTCTTCAAAATTAAAGCAAAATTCCAAACATCAGTGCCTACTCTTAAGTGGAGAGTGTATGAGAGGACATGTGGAAGGCGTGTGTGTGGTGTGTGCATGCATGCAGAATTAGAGAGGTTTCTGAAGGAAAAGCGAGCCTCTGTGTAAAAGGGAGAAACTTCCCAAGGAAGGGATTAGCACATGCAAACTGCCTGAGTAGAAGAAACAAGTTGTTGTGTTGGAGGGGCAAGGTGGCTGTCGAGGCACGAAAGGGGCTGAAGAAGTAGCAAGACTCAGGCCAAACCAGCCTTTATCAGCCCTGCTCCTACTGACAGGCCTTTTGGATTCCAACCCAATGGCTGAGATCCAGAACATGTGCCTTTTCTTTCTTTCTTTTTTTTTTTTTTTGATGTAGATACATTTAATTTTATGCTCAGTTCTGAGCTCATCTCTTTGCATTTCAGAACTGGTAAGACAATCATTCAATGATGGAGTTTTTTCTTTGAAGTAATGTGGATTTCCACATATTTGCTCTTAAGACTAAAGACTCTGTAGGGATCTGCCTTCTCCAGTTTCAAATTAAACCTTCTCCTCAGTGACTTGACGCTTAGATTTGACACTGCACCACATCGCGACCGCTTCCCTTTCATATTGTACAGCCTACATCCCTCCTCTACCCCAGAATTAAGTGCAGAATTCTTTTTTCTATTTCACCAGGTTAAAAAAAGAACTTAACAAAGGAAAACCATTTGCAAGGAGGCTGGTAGACATGACCTAGTTCAACTTTATACCATCTCTGACCCCATGCGGCTGCCTGGCTATTGTTTCCCCTTGCTGGGGGCTATCACCATGCCCAGTAAACCAGGTCTTGTGAAACTCTGAACTTAGTGTAAAGAAATGAATATAAACCCAAAGGTTGCTATTTCTGTAGCATCTGTCTGCGTTTTGCCACGGAGTTGGGTGAAGAATCACATTTTCACTTTCCTTGTCATAACAAGAGCTTATTCCTGTTTCACAGCTTGACTTGAGTGTTGGAAATGTAGTAGAATTGACTATGTAAATCTGTCTAATGCAATATTTATTAACTCACTCTTCTAGTGCAAGACACTAAGTTGATTCTCTAAGCACAGAAAAGTGTGATGAGCTTCACATGTTTTGAAAGGAGAAGTTAGCCCTAGACGACATCTTCCCTTTCATTCCTGAGACAAACAGCGCCAGACATGTTTGGTCACCCAGAGACCTGCCCTGGTGGCTTGCTAGGCTGCATTTGTTCATGGTTTACCACACCCTATCCTCTCCATTTCCAGGCCCTGATCATGCAGAATGTCACTGGCCAGTTAGGGGGGGGGGGGGGGAATCACTACCAGGGAAAATACTCACCATTATATAGGAAGCCCATGAAGTTACTTAGATGATTTGAGTTTGATAGAAATCTTAAAAACTATTTCTATGAACTTTGCAGGTGCTGTATTTCTTGAGATTCTAAACAAACCTAAGCATTTTTACAGACAGTGTTAACATTTATTTTATTGTCCTATAGAGAGCTTTAGCTTGAACTCTTTTTAATGCATCTCCTTGCCCCTCCCCAGGACACACTTATTTTTTTTTTCCAACCTTATTCAGTGGCCATGGTTAAATTAACTAGACTTTTAAAAACATTTTTGGCCCATTTCCAAAGCAAAAGAATGTACTTTGAAAGGCATAAAAGCAGTTTGATGTGTTGTCAAGGTAACTAATTTTCCTTAAAGTTTCCTTTAACTTGTGCTTTGACTGTTCCTGTGGTGAAAGATCCACTTGGACCCTCCATCTGAAGGCAAGAAGAAAAGGGTAGGAAGAGCTGTGCACTTTGCCCTAGTGGCAGCAACAGCCACAAAATGCTGCAGGGAGTCCTGCCTGTGCTGGTGTTTCATGGAGAGGGCTGCCGAGAGGGGCCTCAGCCTTCAGTCAGCTGGGGGCACTGTATGGCCTTGGCTACTGGGAGACCCTTCTTCTGGCAGTCTGAGAATTCCCGGGTTTCAGCTGAAACTGGAGGGGTTTCAGGAGATACTGAAGGGTGTGGACCAAAAGCTGTTGTAGTCAGTGAATCTGTGACTGCTGTGTCAGGAGATCAGGCAGTGTTCTTTAAACTCTTCCTTGTTACTGAGTCCCCCATGTTCTGTGATGGTGTCTGTGAACCACATGGTTTAATTGTTGGAGAAACCAGGGGAGACCACCCTAGCCTAGTACAGTTTGTCCCTTGATGTTCATTTCAGACACTTTGCCTTGCTTCTCTTTTCTTTTCTTTCCAGGAAATATACCCAGTGAATGAGACCTACTGTGCTACTTTTTTTTTTTTTTAACATGCATCTGAAATGGCATATTTTACTTAAATAACTAGAACTACATTATTAAAACTACAGATAATTCTTTGGGTCTATAATTAAGGTATATTAATACATATTTGAAAACCACTCAAACTGTAAGATGATTTTTATGTGTTTATAAGTTCAACCGTGGGGATTTGAGTGGGAGTTTTCCATCATGTGAAACAGTGATGTAGCTGGAATGTTGAGAACTCAGGCAGAATGAAAATTTCATTCTCACTTTTCCAGGCCTTTTATCATGCAAAGTCACATGTCAAGGAGCCTGACAATGAAATTCTTTTTGTATATAGGTTTGAAAGGTCTTAAAAATTGAACTTATTGCTCTTGTGGTGAAGAGTGTTTGTAGCTGCCCAATAAAATGAAGAACAAGCTTGTTGTCTGTGTTATGGCTAGTAAAGAGAGATTTACTGTCTAAGATTACCCCATTGCTACGATGACATCACCAACTCATAAGGATTATTGCACGAATTGAAACTAGAGATCACAAACTTTGTCAACACAAATCACTGTGGCTGTACTTGTATAAGCATATAGAATACCTGGGAGGTAGATACCGCGGTGTGAAGTCAGATGTTGTCACAGTTTTCAGACTTGGTGCTATGTGCCTATAATTGTATATTGGTATCAATTGTTTATTCACTTAGCAAATGTGTATTGGGTGTCTGTTATGTCTTGGGCATCCCATTAGAAACTGGGAAATCAGAGGTCACTGCCCTCTGTGACCTAATGCAGGAGCAGCAGGGCTTTAGTCTTATGCAGCCATTAGGACAAAGTACAGCACCTAATGCATTAGCAGCAGGCCTAGATGCGTGGGTGCAGTGCCAGCATGGCGTGCCAAGGAAGTTCCTTTCAGGTGAGGTGATATCTAAACAGAGATCAGAGTTGTCTGGGAAAAACTTGGGGAGCAGGGGTACAAGTGTCAGAGAACCTTCAGAAGTATAAATCTTATAAGAGGCTGCTGCTCTGGCATGCCTTCTCTCCTGTACTTTATAAGGTTCCATGCTCCTGGGCTTGCCAGTTCTTAATCCTGTGGGATTTTATATCTGTGAATTAATTTAAAGGCCACGTTTCACCTCATTAGTTTGAATAGATTAGCCACCAAAGTAAATCCATACTTTTGTTGTGGAAATGAATGTTAAAGCAACAAACTTAATTAAGTACTGAGCTTTTTTCCTTCCTTAGTTCTTTTGGACACAGCCCACTTTGCCTTCCCCAGGCCACATTTATGAATAGTAACCTCCAACGAGGTTTTTCTAAATTAAATTGAAAACCAAGTGTCTTCTGTTTAACTACATATTTCATTTGTTTAGAGAACCTTGTTTGTAACTCTGTTTGTTCACTGTCATGACCACAGCTTCTGCGGAAAAGGCATATAGGAAATGACATCGTGACCATTGTCTTCCAAGAACCTGGAGCACTGCCTTTTACTCCAAAAAGCATCCGGTCCCACTTTCAACATGTCTTTGTCATAGTCAAAGTGCATAATCCATGTACCGAAAATGTGTGTTATAGGTGAGTAGTCAGTAGCTGGTTTTTCATTCTCCCAGGTTTATCTCAGCAGAGGATCATTTCCCATAATATTGTCCTTCCCCAGTGACCCCTGTCATGATCTTTTTTCCCTAATTTTACTTACCACTGTCTTTACTCAGGTACTTTCTGTAAGAAATAATTGCTTCCTCTTATTTTGAAAAAGTGAAATGCACAGGCAGTTTGGAATTGTAGATTAAACTTTACTTCCATTTGCCCAGAAAAGCTACATCCATTCCCTGCTGGAAGTTTCTACCCTGTGGGGTGCACTTGAAAGAGTGAATCTCTGAGCTGAGTTGGAAGACAGCCCTACTCATCTTGCTGTAGACAAGATGTTTTTTTGAGTCTTCATTTTCTTAAATTGAACATACTAGTACCTACTTCAATGTGTAGTTACAATGAATAAAATACAAAAACTATGAAAAACACCCATTAGGCTTCCTAGTACTCATCAAAGGTCATTTCATTTTATCATCTTAAATCAGCAGTTGCCAGCTCAACTACCTGCAGAGCCCAGGGGAGCAGGCACAGTGGGCTGTGAGAGGATGGTGGAGCCGGGGAGCTAAAGGCATCTAGAAACCAATGGTCCTTAGACTGAATCTTGTCTCAGGCTCAGCTTGTTAAAGGCAGCAGTTATGTGGCCTTATTCTGTGTGCCTCTAAGTTAGTGGACCTGGAATTAACGGGAGTATCTGCATGTTTTCCTCCTTCGGTAGTTCCTGTACAGCTGGGGTATTGTGTAGAATATAGATCTGGTGCCTTTTGGGGATGATGAAAGTGCTCTTAATAGGATTGTGAAAGATGTAGGACTCTGAATATACTAAAAGCTATTGAATGATACATTTTAAATGGGTGAGTTACATGGAGTATGGATTCTATCTCAATAAAATACTTCATTTTCTCTTTAATAAAAAGAACACTGCCCTAAATTCTCAGAACTACTTAAAAACATATAGACTATGTTTACAAATGTAAAATAGATATTCTGTATAGAAGATGTTTCAAGGAGATACATTTTTGTACAAATATATTAAGTTAGTATATTCTGAGATCTCATCTGAGTGGTAATTATAAAGAATGATCTTAAATGAATCTTCCTAATAGTTAGGAAACTTAAACCTAGGTTGTTATTGTAGTTGGTGTTATTTTATTGGCTGTTATTTTTAGACCCAATAAAGTATTTTTAAGTACTTTTATTTTTAACTTAAGCTTATGTATGTCATGAGGGATTCATTAGTACCCAAAAAAAAAAAAAAAGATTGTTTTACTTCTTTTAGGTTTTCTTATATTAATTAAATTACCTAAGAGGAATATTTTTGAAACCAGTACTTACCAATGAAAGAAGTAGATTGTATTTTGCACCATGTTTCCTGTGAAAGCATGTGCCCATCATTCAGAGATGGCATCATTGGCTCTTAAGAAACCAGTGTTGTCACCAAATTATTAGTTACTAATGAGATTCCAACTGTAAAGTCGATAGCCTCCCTTAGATTTCTGTAATGCCTCATAACATTCACATTGATTATGCTTAAAACATTCATGAGTGATCCTCAAAGACTCAAACGAAACTTTTGAGAATACGGTAGTTAGATCAATCCCATGACATTTAATGAAGCTGCATTTGCTTTATTATGTGGAATGAGATTGCAGCGCAATCTCTGTCACTTCATAGATCTGTTTTGTATGATACTCTTCAAAATATACCAGTAAAAGAATAGTTCACTTGAATTGTTCCCCCCAAAATTGTGAAATACAGTCTAGGTCTACTGTTTGCTGTCTTAATACAGAAGCATATTTTGAAGAAGACTAGATTCACCTTAACACACTTCAGAAGAACCCCCATAAATACTTTTTCTTGCATGAGCTTTAAGACATCTCTCTAGGAGTTTACATGTGAGGACAAATTAATTCCTAGTAAGTTTAGAAGTTCCATCCTAATGATGGTAGCAGGGGAACATGGGTCAAGTATAATGTTGTTTTCTAAGCCACCTCAACATCTGTGACCTTTTTAGAACCTTCTGAGGAAATAAGTCAGGTACCCCAACATCACCTGCTGGCTTAGCACAAGTATTACCAGGCATAAATGAGTTTAGTGTTTGTACTTCAAACTTTACTCTCATAAAAACCATCACTTAAATTTTCAAAATGTGGTCACATGGGCACTTCCTTAAAAAAAAGTGACACTTGAAAATTTTTGGTCTTGTAAATATGATCATTGCTGTTAGTAATAGTGAATCTCAGGCAGCCAACTGGGCTATTCTCACCTTGGGTACCAGTGTCTTTGCTGTCTTTCTCAGTGGTGACCAGACCAAGTTCGAGGGTCATCTCTGAAGGAGCTAAGTATAAGCTGTCTTGGTTTCTTCTGAGGATGCTCCTCTTGAAGACAGCCACCTTCTTATAAACTGGACTCACTCCACACTCACAGGCTCACTTGATGTATTCATCTATTTAAAGACCATAGCTACAAATGCAGTTACATTCCCAGCTATAAGGGTTTAATACTCGAACATCCTAATGTTCAAGGTGTGTTCAAGAGGGAACACACCTGTGCCCTCAACATCCCCAGCTACTAAGTTTAAAAAGTGTTGCTCACAAAAGTAACATTGGTATCTAAGAATTAGCATAACAAGATACAACAAAATAGATGACTTTTAAATCCAAAGTATGTCAGTTAAAATAGTAAATATGATGATATTACAGCTCATCTTGTTTCTCTTTCTTCTCCCCCCCCCACCCCCCAGTGTTGGTGTTTCTAGATCAAAAGATGTGCCACCCTTTGGTCCACCAATTCCCAAAGGTGTAACTTTTCCCAAATCAGCTGTATTTCGGGACTTCCTTTTAGCTAAAGTTATCAATGCGGAGAATGCAGCCCATAAGTCAGAAAAGTTTCGAGCAATGGCCACTCGAACAAGGCAAGAGTACTTGAAAGACTTAGCGGAAAACTTTGTCACGACAGCCACAGTAGATACCTCTGTGAAATTCAGCTTCATTACACTGGGTGCAAAGAAGAAAGAGAAAATCAAGCCGAGGAAGGATGCCCACCTGTTCAGCGTCGGAGCAATCATGTGGCATGTGATAGCACGGGACTTTGGCCAGTCAGCTGACATTGAATGTCTTCTTGGAATTTCCAATGAATTCATAATGTTGATCGAAAAGGATTCCAAGAATGTTGTATTTAACTGCTCCTGCAGAGATGTCATCGGGTGGACATCTGGATTAATGAGCATTAAAGTGTTTTACGAAAGAGGGGAATGCATCCTCCTGTCTTCAGTGGACAACTGTGCTGAAGACGTAAGGGAAATTGTTCAGCGATTAGGAGTAAGTAGAGGTTTTGAATTTTCCTCCTTCCTTGAACTTTCAATGTCAGATTAATAATAGCTTTCGTAGTAGAAATCCCACTATTCCAAAATGCATAGTTGACACTTAGAAAATGAATTCCTCTTTCTTAGGGCTACAGGCCTTACATTTAAGTGTTGTGTCCTTTTGAGCAATTGCTGCTTACTTAAATGGTGAAGAAGAACCCACTACAAATTGGAAAGAAAAGTTAAGCCAACTTTGAATGTGATCATCAGGATATTTTTGAAAATATTTGAAGGAAAAACAGTAGAATTGCCTAGATAATATGTCTATTGCTAAAGACAGGAGGGAAATCATGAGCACAAAATTGGTATTGGCTATATAAGTCTTCTTTACAGCTTCAACTCTGCACACACACCTATACACAAACATATATAGATGTACACCTCTGTGCAGAGAATCTATATACTATGTAACTTATATATGTTATTTTTCTGTGTATGTAAAATATCAACATTTTTATTTAGTCGGCCAAATGAAGTGTTATTCTTCCAGCCACAGAATCTTTCTTTTTTTTTTTTTATCGCAGGATAATATATTTTTTGTAGCAATTTCTTTACTTTATTTTTTATAACAGTTTATTTTTACATCATTTTGTACATTTTTTTTTTACATCTCAATTGTAATCCCCATGGGTTTCCCATCACCAAGTCACCCCTGTGCCATCACCACAATCCCGTGCACTTCCCTCCCCACCCCCACCCCCGTTTTTGATCCCATTCCCCACTCCATCCCCACAAAATGTCTCTGGTATATGGTTGT